CCCCCCCCCCAAGGCGACACTTGGGTCAGACTACCGGGATGCTCTTTGTGTACGTCTCTCCTGTGTGTGTGTGTGTGTGTGAACAGGGTATCCCATTGTCATTCGGTACCTTGGTGGATGACGTAGTCCTAGCGTACGTTTTGGTCCACAAGAGGTCGAGCTGATAATCCGAGAGGGCCTCGTGACACCGGAAAACCGATCCCCGACACGTTTTCCCTCACGCAGTACCACGTCATGATATGCAGGCAAAGGCGTCCACTTACATCGCAACGAAGGACGACGCATTTTCTCTCTTGTGCTCGCCGGTAGGACTTTCAGGTCACTCCCAACGCCGACCGCGGTCCCAAATGCGTATCTCGCTCCCTGACCCCCCCNCCCTGCCCCCCCCCCCCGCCGTACTCCGTGAACAGTATCGCGGTTGGGCGCACACACCGCCTTCTACGTAGCGGCCGTCATGGGCGCGGCGTGGCTGGCCGTGTGGGTCTGCTTAGGCTCGGATACTCCTCACACGCGAAGAGAGGGGGAAAAATTCAACACGAAGGCGTTGCGTCCGCGCGAGGGTGTAGGGGTAACGGCGGGAGAAGAGCCCGACGTCGACGGCGCGACGAGGGCGGGATCGGAAGACGGAAAGCCGAGACCGGAGGCGGGAGACGGGAGTTGTTGGGTGGCAGCGGGGCTAGGGAAAGGAGGCCCCGGGGCTTGGTCGTTTCAAAACCCGGCGGCAGGCTCGCCCTCGGTGTGCCGAGACCCTGCGCTGCTGCGGAGCAGCAACCACGACTCAGGATGTTCCGCACAAAGAGCGGGTGGCGGCAGGGGCGTGTGTCTTGATTGCGTTGAACGCGCGCCGACGGACGCCGACGCCGCCGCCGGTCGCGTTGTTGATCCCGAGGCGATTCCGCCCGGCGGCGGTGGCCACACGCCTGTTGGAGACGTCTGCGGGGGGGCAGGTCCTGCTTGCGGCCACAAGTCCACGGTAGTCTGTGGCCTCCTCGTTGCTAAGAGCGCCACCTCCTCGTTGGACGAATCGAAGAAGGCGCCAGTTGTGTGCGATGGGTGGACGGAAGGCGCCCTCTCCGCCGCCGCCGCCGCCGCCGCCACAAGCACGGATAGCGACACTCGGGCGGCGATCGGAGGCGGTGATGGTGGTGGTAGCAGCGACGACGGTGGCAACAGCCGCGCGGCAAGTCTTGCAGCAGTGGAAGACGTTTGCAAGCCCTCCAGCAGCGGGAGGGGAGGCCGGGCGGCAGCGAAGACAATCGTCATGAAGGGCTTCGAACGAAATGCGGCCCCTTTTCCGTGGAGAGCGATGGCCGCTTGCCCTGCGGCGTGGGCGTTCGTGGCCGGCAACGTGGGCGCGGGGATGGGCATCAACGTGGTGATGAGCTGGCTGCCGACGTACTACGAGGAGTTCATGCTGGTCGATCTTGAAGACATCCACATTGCTGAGCTGGTATGTGGATGGATCATAATCATTTGTTTTGCAAGGGAGGGTTGGGACGGAGGGGTGGGGAGGGGGGGGGTACTCATAGTCGTGCATGCCGTAGTCGTTAGACCATTGACCTCGCATCCCTACAAAGCCGGGACGGAGCACGCCGGGTTCTCACCGGACCAGGCTCTCACATCACCAAGCGCGAAGCGCCGTGAGATATTCGGCGAGTCGCATGAAGGGTGCGCTGCATCNGGGTTCTCGACCCCGCACAACATGATCTACTCGACACCCATTATGGTTACCACCCAAAAAAAAAACGGAGGTAAACAAAAAAAAACG